GTACTGGAGAGGAAAGTCGGGATTTTTCATCATTGTCGACCATAAAAGGTTAGATAAGATAGATCACATAACCCTCAACCCTTGGTAAGTGTACATTTGTCTTTAATTATTGGAGCTTATGTCTATAAATTTAAATGACTATATTGATACATGTAGGTATCCTTATGAGATTTCTGAATTATCATTGTTTTGAATAATAAATGAAAGAAAAAGAAAAAGAAAGAAAGAAAATGCTAGACTGGAAGAAAAGTAAAGTTAAACGATTGAGTATTCTTACATTTCGCCAATACGTATATGCGGAATAAACTTAAATCACAGCCTTGACATTAGAATCTCTGCCTTTTACAGGGATTACATTAAATCTTTACCAACATTTAATAGTTGTTAAATATTTAAAATCACTCGGATTTGGTTAACCGCATATACAAGTAAGCAAAAGAGATTGTTTCAGCAAGCAGTAAGTAAAATGTTACACATACTGCAGAAAAATAATCCCAGACAATTATTTGCCAAATATTTCTCATGAACATATATGGTTTAATCCAATAATTTAACCGAACGACTCATTTGTATTTCTAAAAAAGTTTTTTGATGCGGGTTTTGTTTTGTAAGAGATCTGTTTAATTGTTTGAAAAGAGGAAGTACTCAGTGACTCAATAAAATGTCCCTGTCCAAATACCAAGTCCTAATGTCTCCTTTCGAACATTAATTTTAAAGTAGACACTTAGTGCTCTTATTTCTCGTAAAAAATCTCTGAAAGTATAAGTATTGATAAACAAGCTTTGTGAGCCTGTAATTTTCTTGTATTTTGAAGGCAATGAGTAAAGAATATGTGTACTGCTACGAAATTCCATCAGGAGCTGTAAACATGTTTTGGACATGACAATTAGAAATGGTAGTAAAAAGTCCGGACTGTGTCGTGTCCAGAGTTAAATGTTGCACTGCAAAGAATAGTAATTTCAGTGCGGGGGACCGGGGCAAAACCCAACGTAATCCTCTTGACAAGGAATAATAAAAAGTCATCATAGGCACCTTTATTGAGGGAGCACTACTGTATATAGTATATGTTGAAAACGTAGTTGGTACACCCATCACCAACACAAATAATTTTACAGGTATAACATAAGCCATTAGAATGATTTACATATAAGATACATACATGAACAAACATTTCAACACCTAAGTTCTTTTCGTTTGGAATATATTTTATTGTATAATTCAATACCGAAAGATATTATTAGATATTTTACACGATGCAAAAGTTATGTTATTATGACTTTCAGTAATATTTCCAGTATAAATACATATACCCACAAATATTACTCAGGACCATTCTATAGGTTTAATCTTTTGTCGTATGTGAATCACCCCTTTCCAGCCTCCAAAAAGCTATCTTTAATGCTTTATAACTTTTTATTAAATCTTATCACAAATTTATAAACAAGTCAACAGTTGATGCACAAAACCATGTTGGTCACCTTGTCATACGACATTTTTATAGGGTCTCATGAGTGCTTTGAGATAGCTCAGTATAAGGCTTTTATAGCCAAAATGGGATTGAAAGGGGAATAACTCTTACAGCAAAAACTGCTGTATCGGGTGTAAATTTGTTGATATTAAAAAATAATTTTCATTTTAAGAGATTGTCGGTAATTTAATAGTCAGGAATTATATTGTAAGGAATTCTGGGTGTCAGGAATTTATAAAATGTCAAAATTCTAGGTTTCCAAGTTATCAAAACAACCTTTATGCTTAATAAGTATAGCTTGTCTTGATAAAAAATTTGACCTTGGTTTGCAAAATTAATTATACCCAATAAGTTAAGAAAAAGGCAACTGCTCAGTGGAGCTACACATGTATATGACAAAATTGAGAAGCTGGCTTCCTTGTACAGCTTTAGCATCTAGAAACTAATCAATTAAAATGTTTCATTTTCCTGACAATTACCTACAGATATAGATTATTTCGATTTAAACAATTCTAAGCAGTTATTTATTACCAACATATCATAGTAACAACACAGTTTCTATGACATGCACAATAAAATGAATGCATTACTTATTGAATAAATAAAGAATTTCAAAAAATAGAACAAGGCACTATATCTTGTGGTACACCAGCATGCTAGATGTTCACAGCGAGATACTAGTTTATGCAAAAACACATGCAAACACGTAGGTACCTGAAAATTACTTGTTAACAGTTTATTTCATAATATGTTCCGCCCAAAATCTCAGGCGGAACGAGCTATTTAGAAAATGGCCTTCGGATGTAAGAGTCCGAGGTACATAAGAAGCGTATGGACGTTAACCGAGGCCCTAACTTGGAGTATATATCTTGTGGTAAAGCTATTTTAGTAAGCGTCGGTGATTATGTAATATTCTTGGCTAAAAACATTTACAATGTAGAGCCAAATTACAACAACCATAAAAAGATACATCAAACCTACAGGTATTGTTTAAATACCTGGTAGCTCAACTTATTAAAGCTATAACTTAATAAGAGAGTTCCTGAACTATCTTTATATCATCACAAATTTGAATTATTGGCCAAGTGAACTATTTGATGATGTCATACAATGGCGGTCTACATAAAAGTACAAGCATTAAAAACAAAATGTCATGTCATAATAAATTCTCAATACTATATGGTTAATAAAATCAGTGAAACTCCTGTTAGTATATTCTTATATTAATTGACAATAGAATCTCAAAGCATAAGATAAACAGTTTAAGGTTTCATCAAAGGTCAACATGTCCTAAAATTCATTTTACAATAGCGCAAAAACTATAGGGTTTATAAAGTTAAAACTTTTACGCTTATAAATACATTTAATCATTGATTAACAGAAAGAAAGTATCACTTGATAACAAATACTTTTAAAAAATATTTATTGAAATTTAATGCATATAAATTTCTTTAATTACACATTGTGAAGTCCGTATTTTTAGTGAAAGACATCATTACAGAAACAATATATGTTTATCAATAAAGGGCAAGCTTCACTTCGCTAGCCCCTGGAAAGTTGTTTCCCTGTTTATGTTGTGCAAATGTTAAAATGTAAAACCGGAAGTACAATGCAAATGGCGGATTTTATAGGGATCGATCTTGTCTTTATACATTTGATTCTTTTAAAAACAGCCTTTCAAAGATCATTCACGTCCAACTCTTGCCCTTCATTGATAAACATACAAGTATATTATTTCTGCAATGACGGTTTTGACTAAAGTAAAGAATCAAGCAGATTGATTTCTTTAAAGGTATGCCATTTTTAAATATATTTTTCTGAAATATTTGTTTTTAAATGGTACTTTTTATCTTTTAATCAATAATGTATTCATAAACTGTAAAAGTTTTGACATTATAAACCACATATTAGGTTTAAAGCTATTGTAAAAATAATTTTTGGACATATTGGTCTTTGATGAAACCTTAAGAACATAGCCTTGTCAGGTAAATAGTTATCAGAAGATATGAGCATATAACAGAGAAAAACATGTGGGACCAACACAATGGAAAATCTCTAATAAAAATTAACAATGTCATGATTCACGGCATATTCGGCAACCATAACAATGTACAAATAAAATCTACGTCCCTTTACCCTTTTTAGTAATGAATATTACTATATACACTGAACATTATATATACACATATGAAAGCAGGAAAAATTTTTAATGACCTCGAAATTCCTATCTATAGATTGACCTACTAAAAGGGCTAAATTTGTTATATTATTTTTTACATAAAATAACAAAACAAAATTTGAAATAAAATGAACAAGCCGTATTTTTTTTCTGACACATGTACAGACCTAAGATAAAACTATTTGTTTAAATCTTAATTGTGTGTCCTTTCTATTGAAGTTTAATTTAGGGAATGTAAAAAGTTAAACGACTGAATTACTAAAGGGAAAAACATTTCTTATAATAAAATTTTGACTTATAAAATTTATTAATACATGTAATATTTAAACTTAAATAGATTCCTATTCTTTTCATTGTTACATCCTATCAATTATTACAGAACACCATACATGGACATAAATAAAAAGTAGTTGATTTTTTTCTTTTTTTTTCAGAAACATCAACCTGATATTAGCTACAAGAATTGTGAAGTAAGCACTATTGTTATTTTATAGATTTGAAGATTATTTCAATTTTAAAAAAACATCATGAACATGTAACCATGTAATTAAGTTCAATTATGCCAATTATCAAGGAGCTTAGAATAATAAAATAAATTGATTTATATATTTAAAAAAAATTAATGTTAAATAAAGAATGGTTAAAGTACAGTTTTGTTGCCAGTATTTAAAAACAAATATTCACTTTTTTTCCCTTTGATCTTCTTGCACTAAAATTAAGGTCATAGTCACAGAAACTAGGAACACAAAGATGCAGTTTATTTAAGTGTTTCCATGGGTTGATACTTCTTCACTTGAATCCTACTGTCAATTTTTGTACTGGTTCTTACGCCCTGTTCACACGACGAGTTTAATTCGCAGTAAATTAGTGCGAAGTAAACTAATGCGAATCAAATTAATGCGAATTAAATTGCGTTCACACGACAGCTAATGCGAAGTAAACTAATGCGAATTAAAAATTTTCTTGTGCAATCAGGCTGTCATTATTCATTTGTAAATCACGTCTGCATAGCTATCCTTTGATACATCACATAGAAGCTTATGATTTTAGTGATTAACATACTTTCCCTATTTTTGAGCCAAATATAGCTATATATAACCACCAACACGTGTCCTGTGGCTTAATTCTGGCCTTACGCATCGTCAAAATTTAATTCGAATTAGCTTCGCTTAGCGTTAACACAGAGCAAATGCGAAGTAATTTAATGCGCATTAAACTAATTTGAATTAAACTAATTCGCATTAAATTCTCCATGTGAACGCTAAGCGAAGCTAATTCGCAGTAAACTTACGTTTAATTCGAATTAAACTCTCCGTGTGAACAGGGCATTAGACGTAAGGCTATATGACAGTTGGTTGTGTTTTCGAAAGGCAGTTTTCTTAACTGTGATAATATTCTCGCACTCTCCCTGGTAGAAAGAGCGAATGTTTACCATGTCTCAAAAGTAGTGGTTAGTGTAAAATCCATCAACACCTGCGGTTTGCTTCAATTCTGAAATATCAATATAATCTTGAATATAAAAATAATGCATAGATGAATTATTTTAATAAATGTAATATACCTCAAACCAATGAATAGCGCTTGGTAACTATAAGTCATCAAAGTAAAAAGATTTGCAGGTAATATTGGCTCACAAATTTTATTTTGCTGTATTTGTCTAATATGTTGAGGCGATTTATTTTTACATATTAGCCTCAAAGCCATCACTATGCCAGATATTACTTCTTTCAGCGCTTTGTGTCTGCACATGTATCATACGTAATTGGTAATGTGTGCACAAGTATGTATTTGTTCATTATGATAACAATTATATTACCTGTCTGCATAGGTATCTGTATACACACACTCTGTTGCTATTGTACGATCCAACCCAGAGAAGATGAGAATTGGCCTGATACCCCAAACCATGGGGAGATTCTATACCATCTTGTTTGGTCCGTATAAATGCTAGAAAGTACCTGTTCCAATCAATAACATGTATTGCGTTTAATCTACGATCACACACAAGGATGTTTGATAGTGTGTCTGTGCAGATTCCACGTGGTAATAGTTGTGATCCTGATGCAAGACCTGTGTATGAGAAGCGATGTCTTCCATCGCGGTCAGTCACCACTACAGCACAGTTCCAATCAGAGACAACAACATCTCCATTGCGGTTCTCTGTGATGTACTCGGGACTTTTATACAGTACCTGGCCCATGTTGTAGTATTGAATTGTTTGAATGAGTTTTCCCGTTTCGTTATACCGAATTACTTTAGCTGTATTTGTATCGTATCTACACATCCCAACCAACAGATCTCCATTGCAAGGAGAACAATAGACACATCTCAGTGTCCATGGTTCTCTCTTCTTTATTACCTGTGTAACTGAGTTGTCATATTTTGTTAGTTTATTGATGTTGTTAAAAGAATCTATAAAAATAAGGTCACGGGCTCTGTTGAATGTGTGCAATCCCCATAACTTACTTATATTTATATGAGGTAGTTTATAAATATCGGTATCACCTTCCTTGTTTGTTAAGAGAAGATTATTTTCCCAGTCGCTGATACAGACCAAATCTAATGCCCCAGTGGAAATGTGTATAACACCACTTAAACCTGTTATTTCGACAGATCTGTGTAGCACTGGTGAAATCACCTGTTTCAGTAAGCATTCATTTTTCAATTGTCTTTTATCCGTGGCTATTATTTTGATATCTGTCAGTAATGCAATTATATCCTTTCTGTTAATTTCCTCAGCTGCAAAGAGCAGAAATTGTTGTGTAGCACGGGAGGTGCCGTACATCTCTCGGACACATGTTTTCTTTCGGAGTGATAGAAATTGCACTGGTTTATTTGCCGACTGTTCTAATATCTTCTCATTTTTGTCCATGATGGTAAGGTATCGGATCACTTTTCTATTTCGTTGTTGCAATTTACTGTATCTGACCTTTATAGCAAATATTCCACTGTCAATGAAGTCCTTCAATGTTTGAGCCTTTGTTTTCATTTTTAAATAAAGGTTAGGTATTTCTGATTGACGAGTTTTTAAATCAGATTTGATTTCTTCCAGTAGAAAACAGCTATAATTACATTGAGTCTTCCATCTGATGTTATGAAATATTTCTTTGTGTTGTTGGCGGTTTGTTTGATATGCATTTCCCAGATCTATCAATTCATGTTTTTTGTGTTCAGGATCTCTACATTGTACACAGATGGGAAGTTTACATGTCTGACAAAACGTATCATACATGTTGTCTGGATGCCTTTCACAAAACTCTTGTTTTGAGATTTTAAATTTCTCCCGGTAAATTACAATATGATGATCTATGGTATCTAGATCAATAGTATGTATTTCTTTACATTGTTCACAAAGATCATTTCTACACATAAAACAATAAAACTCTGCGTCACCACGGCATTTAAAACACTGACGAACTTTAGACTGAGTGCTCAATTCTAGGGTAGGCGTGTTCATGACATAGTGTTGTGTTTCCAGTGATGTTTCCCTCTCTTCTATTTTGTTTTCTATGTGCTTTTTACAATTGAAACAAACAGGAAGTTTACATGAGTTACAAAATATATTGTACATCTTGCTTGGATGCCTTTCAAAGATCTCTTTTAATATGAATTCACATTTCTCTCGGTAAATTACAATATTATAATCAATGGTATCTATATCAATTGTTTGTATATCTTTACATTCTAAACAAAGACCAGTTCTACACACGGAACAGGTAAACTCTTCTCTCCATCTACACTGGTAACACCGGGGTCCTTCGTCCTGATAGTCACTCCACATGATTCTGATTTCGGGTTCTATACCCATTAGATGTGTAATGTCTATGTTATGGAAATTTAATTTATATTTACATTGGGAACAAACAGGTATGTTAACACTTCTATCAGGCTGTCTCTTCTTCACTTGTTCTGTGAACATATATTCATTTTTCTCTTCGTTACTCCAAACATAATGCTTTGCAGTTTGGACATCGATAGCATGTTTCTCTTTACACTGTAGGCACATATTATGTTTACAGTTTAAACAGTAGAATTCCATGTCTTCCTGGGATTCAGAAAAGAGCAGTACTCTAGGCTGATTGTATTATTTCTATGGTTCTTTGACGTGGATGTAAAAACAACCTACATAACAAAGTAAATAAATTTAACATTAAAGGTAACTAGAGAAAAATTGTTAAGATTGACAATTTCATTTTGAATTTGACAGTATGTATTTTGCACTTTAAATCATAATATATAGTTTATATACAATAAAATGGAAAATTTTACACACATGTGTCTACTGCGCTAGTATCATTGTAATTTATAATTTATATGCAAAAGTAGTTCAGGGTGTCCCAAAATATATGATTATTTCATACCATTTTTGGATTATGTAAAACAAATTGTAATGAATATTGACATACAACATACTGTCCAATTTCATTGACACAATATGACGGTCATTGAAAGGAACATGAAAAAATAAGTTTACTTTTAAGAAAAGCCATAGTATTTAAATGATGTCCTCTAAATCACGTCCTATCTGGGTAATGGTCATGTTTAGTCATTGCGCAAAATTCCCTAACTTAAGTCTGCCAAGCATTTCTCTTTAGTTCTAATATGAATTTTCATCGGAAACATGCGTTTTAGATAAGTTAAAAATTTAGATTTGAGTTTAGTAACAATGTCTTAAAGGAAATCTATTAAAGTAATTGAAACTTCAAATTTTTGGATGGGTTTGATTGACACATCCTCGCACTATCACAAATTTTAATTTTTATTCTTAATACGCAGAAAAAGTTTCAATCTTGTTGTGTATCGATGAAAAATATTTAAATTTTAATCCAGAAAAATAATTATATTCATAGTAGACATGTTCGAAAGAAAACCCCTTTATAAGTATCGTCATTTTGCGCTCATTCCGCACTTAGTGTTGTGAACAGAGTTAACCAATTTAATTTGAACACACCCGTGAAATGTACACAGTTTTTGTAAACAGAGCACGAGCTTTGTCATTGTGAAGGTTTACGATTCACCGGGTATATTTATTGTTATAAAGTCTGCTCACCACACCTGCACAGACTGACAATATACTATGTGTATGTTTTGCTTTCGAATATTTCTGCTTCGAATTTTCTGGATTATAGGTTTAATATTTTTCATTTTTACACAATAAGATTGCCACTTTTCCTACGTATAAAAAATATAGTTTAAATTTGTGAAAATGCAAGGATCAAATCCGTTCAAAAAGTTAACTTCAAGTTCAAGTTCATCTATTCACTCAAAGCCATTTAAAATACAGGGTACATGAAGACAATGAAAACTATTTACAGCATATATATTCAGGTCAGTACAAGTATATGATAAACATTATTACATTATCATAAAATGAAATAGGGGGAAAAAGAGAGAAAAAAAGAAAACACATATGATACATGTAATATTGAAATACATGAGGGGAAAAATCATGGAGGACAGCCTTAATCATATATTTTTAATTTGAACATAAAGTTTTTTAGTGACTTAGCATCTTGTTTGTCATCAGTTGAGAAAATTTAAGAATGTTTCGTCTAGTACAGTAGTATTCATGAATATACTTTTTTTCTATTGTTTGACAGTGTAGTGAGTTTAACTATAAAATGGAATTCGTCAGCAATATGTTTATCATTACAAAGTGTACATTATCTTTCATTTAATGATATACATGCCCATCTTCCCCGTTCAACTGATGAACGGTGATTAGTAGTACGACATTTGACAAGTTTTTTTCTTAATTCTAATAGCAAAATACTTAAAAAAAATTTCACACTCGAAATTTGGTTTAAAAATTTTATACAAAATACCTTTAGAAGAAATATTTATATCAGAATGCTATTTTTGTATAAATTGATCCTGTAATATTTGTTTAACCCGATCTTGATTAAGATTTAAAAAAAAACTGTTTATCCAAATATGAGATAAACTACATGAATCAGCCAGAGGCCCAAAGGCCTTACAGGTTACCTGAGTACATGTAACAACTTTCCTAAACCAAAAGCCATGAAATTCACAATTTTGAAAGATGCACCACTGTTTATCATAATTATACACTTAGCATGCTCACTTTGGTTTCTTAGTACCCAGAGGTAGATCAGAGTAGCAAAGTGAAACTGCATTTCCACTTCATAACCACCAGTTGTGCACTCCGTCCCACAGAACCACTGACCCTGGGGCCACATATTTCAAAATTATTTTTCTCCATAAATTTCATTTCATCATAAATGGTTGACGAATATCAAAGAGCAGATTTCAAAGCATGAATTTATTTTCAGACTAAGTACCAACCCCGGTACCCATGGCCCAGGGGTCATAAAATTAATCATTTTGGAAGAAACATCTCCCTTCATCATAAATATGTACTTATGATCAAGGCATAATGCCCAGGTGCAAAGGAAAAGATTTTTTAAAAATTCATGCATAATAATAATAATAGAGCCCCGTCCTAACACCAGAACGCCTGATTCAGGGGCCATAACATTTGCAATTTGAAAGAGGCAGCCTTATTCAACATAATCATATACTTGGTTAGTTCATTTAATACCCAGGAGCAGAGAATTAGATTTTCAAAGATTTTATGCACTTTCACTGTATAATCAACGGAGTTCCGCCCTTACTCCAGAGCCCCTTACCTTGGGCCCATGAAATTCAAAATTTTGAAAGAGGCAGCATTATTCAACATATCTATGTATTTGGTTTGTTCATTTATTGCCCATGAGCAGAGAAGATTTTCATAGAATTTATGCATTTTTACTATATATAAACTATACCTCCCTGCCTAACACAAGAACCCCTGACCCTGGGAATATGAATTTCACAGTTTTTGTAGAGAATGGACTCACTACTGATTACAATCATGCCAACAGTTTGATAGTTTGACAGCTTTATTTCCAAAAGTAAAGAAGAAGATCTTTAAAGATTACATAAATTTTAGTGGTTTTGGCCCCACGCCTCAGCAGGGACCATGAAATTCACAATTTCTGTTCCCCTTCACCCTTAGATGCTTTTGCCAAAATTCGTTAAAATTAGTTGAGCAATTGCAGAGAAGCTGAAAATGTTCAAAAGTTGTCGACGAACAACGTGCGACGACGGACAAAAACAAATAGTGATAGGTCATCCGAGTGAATCAGGTAACTTACAAATGCGATGAACACAGTAAATCCAAGGATTCTTACCAATTTCAGATTGTGAGTTAGCAGTTAAATACCGGTATTGATATAAAATACATAATTTTGTGTGTGTGTGTGTGTGTGTGTTATTCAATAATTTACACCAGTATAATAGATATTTATTTGGTATACTACATGTGCGTTGTTACGATGCATTTTTGACGATATAAAATATAAAATTTTGGCACTAAACAATAAAATAATTAACATAAAATCGGAAATCGAAAGACATGAATATAATTCACATTACATTACTCGTTTATATACCAAGTATAACTCATGAAAGCCAATGGCTTATTTCCAATGGGGTCCTTATACTCATACATTTAAATTGATGTTAAATAAAATGAACAGAAAAATATAAATACTAAAGCTAAGATGTGGTATCAAGTTGACAACACACAGATCCTTAAAAATGAATAGTAGATTGTATATATACCAAATCTTCACATGGTTGTAATTCAGAAAACTAATAATAAGAAAGAAAAAAAAACTAATTAAAACACGACTTGACTTTTTCACTGGGCAATACTCCCTTCTTATAAAAACGTCTTGGCATTTCTTTAAAAGCAAACTTATTTTAAGTATTTAAAACAGGTTTAATTTCTGCTGGTAACATGTTCCAATCTTTGATTCCATTAAAGTAAAAAGATTCAGATTGTTTATGTTTAATTGATGGTACAACAAAATCTGCATTTGAGGCTGATCTAGTATGATAACTACTAAAATTTGACCGAAGTAAAAAAAGTTCGTTAAGAAAGGAAGGGGCTATTCCTTGAAAAATATGAAAAACATGGTTGAGTCTAAGCTGAGAGACTCAATCTTGAATATTTAAAAAATTCAGTTGTTCAAGTATTTCATAATTCACAGATCCCTGTGGACCTAAATTTGAAATCAATCAAACCATCTTATTTTGACAAATTTGTAACCTTTTCTTTGAAGTTTTGTAAAGCCCTGCATACCAAACACTACAGGCGTAATCATTATGACATTGTATAAATGCTAAACACAGAGTCATTAAAAGAACAGGCTTGTCGGTACAGAAATCGCAATCTATTATTTACTGTCTGAACAATCGATTTAACAATGTTTTCACCACTTAAATATTTGTCAATTAAAACTCGAAGATATTTAACTTTTTCTTTTCAATCAATATTATGTTCATTACATACAACCTCGAATTTTTCAACATTTTGAAGTTTTCTTTTAGAACCAAATAAAATGAATTCAGTTTTACCTAAACGTAACGACAATTTATTATCTTCAAGCCAATGCGAAGTCTGGTCTAAAACTTTATTCAGCTTTTCTTAATACTTTAATATACGTTTTTACTTGTTTAAATACAAATTTTTAAAGTCAATTGTCATTGGATAAAACGTTACTTTTATGGAAAAATTAATTATTTATACTTCCTAGCATATTATAAATCAAATTCTACCAGCCAAGAGTTTGTTGAGCTGATAGAGACAAAAATATTTTTATATCTCTATTCTTCGTTTATATGTTCGCACATCAAAGTTAAATGTGAAATTCACTGTACATATACATGAATTACGTACGCTATTCAGCATTACCCTGAACAAAATTACATTAAGCTAAGTTTCATCGCAGGTCCAAAAATTTATTTTTACAATACCTACAATTGTAACTTTAGAGTTTATATATAAATATAATTTATTAACCACTTGATAAATAAAACTATTTATGGAAAAAAATCTGTAAAAATGCCTTTATTTTTCTTTAAATACATTTTTTTTAAAAATTAACTCTTTACTTTATCAATTAAGGGCAAGTTGGACATTGATAGCCTCTTAAAAGTTGTTTTACCTGTTTATATTTCCCATATGGTAAGATATGAAACCGAAAGTACATTGCAAATGGCGGAAGTTACAGGGGTCTTGTCTTTATATATGCTATGCTCATGATGCTTTTAATAAGAACACTTCAAAAACAATTTTCGTTTAACTTGCTTTTTATTGATAAACACATAGCATTTCTGCAATGATGCTTTTCAGAAAAAGAACAGGTGTATTTTCTTTACATAATTTATGCTAATTTTTTGAATATATTTTTTTCTGGATAAATATTTACTTTTTAATATATTTATTCCTCTAGTGATACTTTATATCTGTTAAACAATGATAGTTATAAAATGTAAAAGCTTTAATATGATTCCCCACATTGCTACGGAGCTATTTTAAAAATAAAATCGGACATGTTGACCTACGATGAAACTGTTACATTCGTTCTTGATTTGCTATATTTTGATAAGAATCAATCGTAAGATGTTTACATACCAATTATGAAATCCATTATTTGTATGCCATGATATTAAATTGGTCTGTGTCTCAAGTTCAACGTCTAAAGTTAATTACAACTCGTAAATAGGAAAACGCCATTTTAGTTTGTCTTCCACTTCAGCACAGCCGTTTGCATTCGTTACACTCGATTGCTCATCTCGAGCTCATGGCCGACACGCAGTATTTCATATATTGCCGTGATGATTATCTTAAATTTCATTACTTGCATACAGTGTTTGTAATGAAATGAGGCATGCACTTGATTTTTACCTAAACTTGAAGTAGTTTGTGATTTATTTCAAATATCCACATACTTATGTTCTGTATTCACCAGTTCAAACCAAACATAAATTCTTTATAAATTAATACTTAATACACTTTATACAGGATGGACTCGAATGCGCCAGTGCAACAAATTTCAATGAAGTGTATTGTATATCAAGCAGTCTTTATTTTCACCTCTTAAATCCATATGATTCTTCAAATGAAAAAGACTCAAATAAAGCAATGACATCAAAACGAACATAAAATGACTTGACAAAATGTGGTTTTGGGGATAGGTCTGTTGCAATGTACATGTAGCAGCATACTTTAGATGACTTATCTAAACACCCGACAATCCACCCAAAACGTGACTGAAAAATACATGTATATGTTTATCATGTTTATCAATGAATAGCAAGTTGGATGTCAATGGTCTCTGAAAGGCTGTTATTGAAAACATGATCTGTATAAAGACAAGACCCCTATAAAATCCGCCATTTGCATTGTAATTTCGATTTCAAGTCTTACCATGTGGACAAATTAAAATAAACAGGGAAAACTACTTTTAAGAGTTTTATCATTTATTGATAAACATATATTGTTTCTGCAATGATGACTTTCACTAAAAGTGCGGATGTACATGTACCTGTACTAACGTGTTTTTTGTAAAATGTTGACATTTGGCAAAACCTTAAATTTCACGTTGAAACAGGTAAAATTTGACCTTGGAATACTTGAAAATTTTGAGCAAAAAAATTTGGGAAAAAAAATTAACTATTTCTTTGTTTCAAGTGATATAATGGCAAACAATTTTCTTTATCCCTATAAAAAACCATGCCATGGGTAAAAAATCAAGAAGGAATAAAAAATACATCTACATGTATAGCTACAAAGTAGGCGAACCCAAACTCCTTAAATATTTCTATACTGTGGAATCCCATTAATTATGTATGTATTTCGTATGTCTATAAATTTAAATGACTATATTGATACATGTAGGTATTCTAATGAGATTTCTGAATTATCATTGCTTTGAATCATAAATGTAAGAAAAAGAAAAAGAAAGAAAATGTTAGACTGGAAGAAAAGTAAAGTTGAACGATTGAGTATTCATACATTTCGCCAATACGTATGTGGAATAAACTTAAATCACACCCTTGACATTAGAATCTCTGCCTTTAATTTACAGGTATTATATTAAATCTTTACCAACATTTAATAGTTGATAAATTTATAAAATTACTCGGATTTGGTTAACAAAAACCGCATATACAAGAAAGCAAAGCAAAAGAGATTGTTCCAGCAAGCTGTAAGTAAAAAGTTAAACATACTGCAGAAAAATAATCCAAGACAATTATTTGCCAAATATTTCTAACGAATATATATGGTTTAATCCAATAATTTAACCGAACGACTCATTTACATTTATAAAAAAAGTTTTTGATCTGATCTGTTTAATTGTTTGAAAAGTGGAAGGACTCACTGACTCAATAAATGTCCCTGTCCAAATACCAAGTCCTAATGTCTCCTTTCCTACATTAATTCTAAAGTAGACACTTAGTGCTCTTATTTCTCGTAAAAAATCTCTGAAGGTATAAGTATTGATAAACAGGCTTTGTGTGCCTGTAATTTTCTTGTATTTTAAAGGCAATGAGTAAAGAATATGTGTACTGCTACGAAATTCCACTAGGAGATGTAAACATGTTTTGGACATGACAATTAGAAATGGTTGTAAGAAGTCCGGACTATGTCGTGTCCAGAGTTAAATGTTGCACTGCAAAGAATAGTAATTTCAGTGCGATGGACCGGGGCACAACCCAACATAATTCTCTTGACAAGGAATAATAAATAGTCATGCATCATAGGCACTTTTATTGAGGGAACACTACTGTATATAGTATATATCGAAAACGTAGTGGGTACGCCCATCACCACCACAAATAATTTTACAGGTATAACATCAGCCATTACATGTAGAATGATTAACATATAAGATACATACATGTACAAAAATTTCAACACATAAGAACTTTTCGTTTTGAACATATTTTATTGTATAATTCAATACCGAAAGATATTATTAGATGTTTTACACGGTGCAAAAATTATATGTTATATGACTTTCAGTAATATTTCTAGTATAAATACATATACCCACAAATTTTACTCAGAACCATTCTATAAGTTTGTTCTTTTGTCGTATGTGAACCACCCCATTTCCCGCTTCAAAAAAGCTATCTTTAAAGTTTTATAACTTTTTATTAAATCTTATCACAAACTTATAAACAAGTCAACAGTTGATGCACAAAACCAAGTTGGTCACCTTGTCATACGACATTTCTATAGGGTCTCATGAGTGCTTTGAGATAGCTTAGTAAAAGGCTACTATAGCCAAAATGGGATTAAAAGTGGAATAACTCTTACAACAAAAAGTGCTGAATCGGGTGTAAATTTGTTGATATTAACAATAATTAACATTTTAAGAGATTGTCAGTAATTCAATAGTCAGGAATTATATTGTAAGGAATTCTGGGTGTCAGAAATTTATAAAATATCAAAATTCTAGGTTGCCAAGTTATGAAAACACTCTTTATGCTTAATAAGTAAAGCTTGTCTTGATAAAAATTTTGACCTTGGTTTGCCAAATTAATCATACCTAATAAGTTAAGAAATAAACAACTGCTCAGCGGAGCTACACATGTATAATACAAAACTGAGAAGTTGGCTTCCTTATTTAGCTTTAGCATCTAGAAACTAACCAATCAAAATGCTTCATTTCCTTACAATTCCCGAAAGGCATAGATTATTATGATTTAAACAATTATAAGCTATTATGTATTACATGTACCAAAATATACTATAAACTTATTTTCTATGAACTGAACAATAAAATGAAAAGATTACTCACTTAGTCAAGAATTTAAAAAAAAAAAGGAACTAGGAACTATATCTTGTGGTAAATCTATTATAGTAGGCATCAGTGATTAGGTAATATTCTTGGGCAAAAACAAATTGTGCCAAATTACAACAACAATAAAAAGAAAAATCAAATCTACAGCATATTTTTGTTTAAATAGTTCAAGTTGTTAAAGCTATAATTTAATAAGAAAATACTTGTACTATCTTTTCATCTTCAGAAATTTGAATTAATCGCCAAGTGAACTATTTGATGATGTCATACAATGACGGTCTATATGCATAAACAGTGCATGTCACGTCATAATGAATACGCAATACTGTATGGATTACTTAATAGCATCACTGAAACTCCTGTAAGTATATTCTTATATTGACAATAGAATCTTGAAGCATAAGATAAACAATATATAAGATCATAGCATTGTCAGGTAAATAGTACTGTAATCAAAAGATATAGGCATCTGACAGAAAAAAAAAACATGTGGGACCAACACAATGGAAAATCTATACAAAATAAACAAACAATTGCATGCTTCACGGCAATTCTGCAACCATAACAATGTACACATAGAATCTATGTCCCTTGATCTAATTTAGTAATGAATATTACATTATACATAATATACAAATATAAAAAAATAAAATAATAATTGGTATATATTCAGCTCGCACTTCCTGTCAACATGTATATGGATTAATCTTATAAAAGACTACATTTGTTATATTACTTTTTATAAAAATAACAAAACAAAATTTGAAAATAATATGAACAAGTTTTTAACACAGACTTGAGATAAAATAATCTGTTTAAAGCTTAATTGTGTCCCCTTTATATTCAAGTGTTATTTAGGGCCGGGGTTGTAGAAAGTTCAAAGACTGAATTACTAAATGGATAAACATTTTTTATAATAATATTTTGATATATTAAACTTAAACAGATTTCTATATTCATTGCATTGTTACATCCAATTAATTATTACAGAACATCATAAACATAACTAAAAATAAGTTGAATTTTCTCCTTTTTGCAGAAAGATTAACTTTATATTAGCTACAAGTATTGTGCAGTCAGCACCATTGTTACTTTCTGGATTTGTAAATGCAATTAAAAAAAAACATCATGAACATGTAACCATATACACAGGTAATCAAGTTTGTGCCAATTATCAGTTAGCTAAGAATAATAGAATAAAAGACAAATTGTATAATTTTATATATTACAAAAGATTTGTAATGTCAAATAAAGAATGATTAAAGTACATATTTTGTGAGTATTTGAAAAAAAAAGAAATGTTAACTTTCAATACCTTTGCTTTGATCTTTTTGCACTTGAATTAAGTCACAAAAACTGGGATCACAAAGATGCACTTGATCTTAGATCCAACCCAGAGAAGATGAGAATTGGCCTGATACCCCAGACCATGGGGAGATTCTACACTAGACAAAATTGCTAACGCACCACTTGTAAATTTTTATTGGTGTATTGAACATTTGCCGGGTCAATTCTAGTGTATATGATATGAAATGATTTCAAAAGCAGTGGGAGTGACAAATGTCTTGACATCATGAACAAAGCCTTGAAAAACCTTTTTGTCCGAAAACCAATTTCCAGCTGTGTACTGTGCACCAATTTCGCACATGTATGATATTCTTGAACACTAAAGGGGTCTGTGAGATTGCCCTACATTGTAGGAGTAGTCCCCACATAAAAATCAAATTACAAACAGTAAATGACTCTCATATCTCCTATTAATCATCTGATACCTTAGTGTCCATACCAAATCCACTCCACTTCCGGTCGACCCAATTTTGTGGAACAATTTTCAATTTATTTCATGCTGCCGACTTAATGCTGTGATTATCTAAAGTAAATATTTTTATGTTTGTCAATCTATTTGGAACAATTTTTCAAGAGTGGAATTCATAACCTTTCTATTGTTTTTATTTTTTACAGATTTTTCTAAAGGAACCCCCTGCAGACGCCATCCTGTCCGCTTTTGCACGCTCTTCTAGCGTCAAACGCCGCATACTGTGTACTTTTTCCCCTGTTTTTTGAATTAGAACAAATGTAAAGAACAT